AGTAATTTTGGCATATTCACCGTGGTCAATAAACTACGAACTCGAGACAAAATCACTCCATTCATATGCTCTACTAACCCATTTTCCTCAGGGCTGTAAGCATTGGTAGTCACGAATGTAATCCCACGAGCTCTGAGAAATGATTTCAAGTTGCTGTTTACAAGCTCTCGACCTTGATCAGACCCGAACACTTCAATTTTGTGGCCTTGTGCTAGAAGCCAAGCAATATGCTTCATCACCACTTCACAAGCTTCCTGTTTCCTCTTTACGAGAAATCCCCATGTGTACCGCGTGGCTTCATCCTCTATAAGCTGGAAATGTTCATAACCGTTATAGGTAGCAACACCCACATAGCACATGTCAGACATGAGCTTTTGGTAAAGCTCAGTTGACCTTGCAGTATCCAAGTTTTTGTAGGACATCCGCTTCATTCGCGATTGAATGCATGTCCAACATCGGTCACTTGGCGCGCACACACTGCCAGACAACTCTAAACCATCCACCGTCTTGTTTCTAACCATTTCCTGCAAGGCCCCATAGATCAGGTGTCCAAGGCGAGCATGCCATAGAATCAGAGCTCTTTCATTCTCACGCGTCATGGCTTTGACTTGCTGCACAGGGACTACGTTAGACCGTAAGCGGTAACGGCCATTCGTCTTCACTAGCTTCAGTAGTATTTCACCCTTGCGTAGCCATGCACACTTCTGTTTTGCTCAACTTGGTGAATTCCCATCCATCACTCTCCAGCTTATCCAAGCTTAGCAGATTATTTATTCCGCTAGGAGTATATAATACTTCAGAGAGACAGAGCGACAAAATTGCAGGAGACTGATTTTCATTCTTCACTTGAACTCTCAGTTCTCCAACCTGCCCTCTGTTCCTGGATGGGACTCCTTCCCAGTCAAACACTAACGGACCATCATCTTGGCGCAAATCTGTAAACAACTCCTTAGTCGTGCACACGTGACAGTCGCTCGCAGAATCGAGTACCCACTCAACACCAATATCAATTGCGTTTTGCGTAGGTTCCACATTACACAATTGACGCGACATCATATCCACGTGTCTCTGGCTGCCACCACTACCTCCAGATTTCTTTTTATTTTCCCAACGTTTACGCTCTGGAAGTTGCGATTTCGACTCATCGTCGTCGCGTTTTGAACGCGGACAATTCCTCTGAATATGACCGGTTTCGTGGCAATTCCAGCATTCACGGTTGTCCTCCTTTTCATTTTTCTTACCACTTTGTTTTCCACCAGAACCACTAGAATTCTGATTCTGATTCCCTTTTGCTTTATACCGGCCACGCCCACGTTTTTTCGTTTTTCCTTGTTGATCATACTGTTGATTCAGTGACTTGCCTTGCTTTTTGCCAGCTTGTGCGGACGAGATATTCGGAGTTTGTATAGGTTCGTCACTCCGTGCATCAAGTTCCGACTCAGCTCGAAGAGCGTTCATCACTTGAGCAGAAGATGGGGCTGAATGCTGATAGCCAGGATCATAGTGCTTCGAGAATTGACGAACAACTTCGCGATGCGTCAGCAGCACATTACTTAGGATAATCTCGGCAAATTCTTCGTCAGAAATAACCTTCTTGTAATGTAGTAACTCATTACGCTGGAGCTGCAT